AGAAAAATTATCCAACCCATGATCTAAAGCTAGCAGCAGTTGTCTTTGCTTCGAAGATATGACGCCACTACTTATATGGAGTTCATGTTGACATATACACTGATCACAAGAGTTTGCAATATATCTTTAAGCAAAAGGACCTAAATCTGAGGCAGCGAAGATAGCTGGAGCTATTAAAAGATTATGGCATTGATATCTTGAAAGCAAATGTAGTAGCTAATGTGTTAAGTCGTAAAATAATGGCAAGCACTTATGGGCAGTCTGTGGAAAGACAAGGAATAACTAAGGATCTATGTCAACTAGCTAGCTTGGGGGTTCGCCTTCTTGAATCTCCAGACGAAGTGGTTATTGTGCAAAATGCGGCCGAATCCTCATTAGTAATGGAAGTGAAAGAGAAGCAGTACACTGATCCTATTCTATTAAAGCTTAAGGAGAATGTACAACAGGGTATGACAAAGGCATTTGAACTTACGCAAGAGGGAGTACTTCGATGTCAAAACAGATTGTGTGTACCTAATGTAGATAAATTAAGAAACAGGATTATGATGGAAGCACATCATTCAAGATATTTTGTCCATCCGGGGTCAACTAAAATGTATCATGACTTGAAAGAAATGTATTGGTGGGGGACATGAAGAAGAACATTGCGGAATTCGTGGCTCAATGTCCAAATTGTCAACAAGTAAAAGTAGAGCACCAAAAGCCCGAACATGGATTTTGTCACTGGTTTGCCTCGCGCATTTCGGATGTTTGACTCCATATGGGTAATAGTTGACAGACTCACCAAATCAGCACACTTTTTGCCGGTGAAGACTACTTATACAGCTGAAGAGTATGCAAGATTGTATATTAAGAGATAGTTCGACTACATGGAGTGCCAATCTCTATAATATTTGATAGAGGAGATCAATTCACTGCAAATTTTTGGAAGTCATTTCAGAAGAGTTTGGGAACACAAGTGAATTTAAGTATAGCCTTTCACCCCCAAATAGACGGTCAGGCAGAGCGTACAATTCAAACACTTGAGAATATGTTGTGAGCTTGGTATTAAACTTCAAGGGTAGCTGGGATGATCATCTACCGCTTATTGAATTCGCTTATAACAATAGCTATCATTCAAGTATTAAAATGGCACCTTATGAAGCTTTATATGGTAGAAAATGTAGATCCCCAATTGGCTGGTTTGAAACAGGTGAAACTGCCTTATTTGGGCCAGACCTTGTTCATCAAGCTATGGAAAAAGTAAGTGTGATACAACAGCGGCTAGAAATAGCTCAAACTAGACATAAATCATATGCGGATGTTAGAAGGAGAGGACTAGAATTTTCCATAGGGGATTGGGTGTTCTTGAAGGTGTCACCGATGAAAGGGGTAATGAGGTTTGGTAAAAAGGGAAAGTTGAGTCCACGCTACATAGGGCCATATAAGATTATCCAAAGAATTGGCCAAGTTGCATATGAGTTAGAGATACCTCAAGAACTTTCAACCATTCATCCGGTGTTTCATGTCTCAATGCTTCGAAAATGTGTTGGTGACCCATCTCGTATTACTCCTACAGAAGATGTACAAGTTATGAGAGATCTCACTTATGAAGAAGTACCCATTGCTATTCTGGATCGACAAGTTAGGAAGTTAAGGAATAAAGATGTAGCTTCTGTAAAAGTATTATGGAGGAACCAGCAAGTAGAAGAAGTTACATGGGAAGCGGAAAAAGCAATGAAATTGAAGTATCCTCATCTCTTCCAGACCAATGAGAAAGATGAAAATGTTGAGTTGGGGCGTTAACAAGTAAGTATAAGTCTATATGTTTAATGTGAGTAATAGTAATACTTAGGCTTGAACTTGTATGGGCTGGATAACCATGCTAACATTCGAGGATGAATGTTTTAAGGAGGGAAGGATGTAACAGCCTGTATTATGCATATGCTTGTTCTGTTCTTGTGATACTTGACATAGCCTTATAGTATAGGTGAGGGACCATGTTTCTTATATGATTAGCATTGGTTTAAACTAGCTCGGAAGGTGATGTGATGCCCTGCACGTTGCAGCATGTGTACTGCAAGTTATAACTCCAACGAAAATATTTAAACTCGAGACGGGAAGGTGGTAATTGAGCTTAAAATTGAAAGTAAAGTGCTAAGTTAAAGAAAAAGAGATTAATAATTAGA